AGATGGCATTGTTCTTGAATTAGTGGTAACCAAATTACATCAAAATGTAACTTAATCATAATCTGAATACATATAGGGCATGACTATGAGCAAACCTTTTGATCAAAACATAATGACATATTTCAGGAAGTCAACTTCATACAAATCTTGTATGCTTTTAGCACAAAACAACATTTTTCTTAAAATGCATCAAAAACCATTCTTTACCACACCACAAAAGATAATAAATTTCACTTTTATCAGACTTAACGGACTTGGGTACTTCTTGGCTTCAATCATAGCCCATTTGGGTTAAGAAAGTCCCACCGTAGTGGTATGTGCAGTCTATTTTCTGACAGGTGGTAATACTTTAAGCAGAGGTCAAATGTTGTGACCTTTTGACCTCTGGTGACCTACACTTTTACTGTATTAGTCCTATGTTACATACCAGCATGTAGAGCATCAGGTTACAAACATTGTGAGTGGTCATAATTCACCATATGACTATTGCTTGTAAAGTTATTCCACTTTATGGTTTCCCCTACCCTGAAATCTAGTCCTGTGGATTCGACTCTGGGGTCCGCCTTTATGTGGTGATTACTACCACTAAGCTGTGATCTCCAGGAAGAAGGTCCCCTGTCTCTCAACATGAAGGATCAATGTCTGATCGACCACAGGTATCCCCGGGACATGTCTCAGGAAGTCACCTATCCCAGACATCCAAGGATAGTGGATACCAGCTCCAGGCATCACACTCCAAGAAAAGAAGCCCTGATGATCATATCAAGGAAGCGAGCCTGTCAGAGCCCGGATCGACGGCGGGTGGCCTCTGTCGTCTATCTTCCTGTCGCCAGCTGGGTGCAAAAGGTCCAACAACGCCTGTCTTACAGGGGACTGGTCGAAACCCAGAACCGACGATCACCCCGGCGATCACCCAACACCTCAAGGCACAGGCAGCACTCCTCCCCTGTAAGACGAGCCTCTCCAAGACGGGAGCGGCGCTCTTCACCACGGAGACAATCTCCAAGACGGGAACGACGTCATTGTCTCCCCAAGACGGGAAGTTCCAAGTCAGGAGCGACATGTCTCCCCAAGACGGGATCGACGCCCCACGCCACCAGGCCTAAGGAGGTCACCTTCCACCATGTTTGCATGACTCTGTACCAGCGTCAGAAGAAGCGGCAGCTCACATGATATCAGTCATAGAAGACTAGGGGCTACCTGGACGGAATTACATCAGTTCGTCCTAAGGAATAGCATTGTTCCCAAAGACATACCCCTAAGAGGAAGCTGCTTCGGGCACATTAAAGAGCTGTGTCACATCAAAGGATGGCCGTTACCACTAGATTCCATCAACCTGTCGCTGGATAGCCCTGCCTGTCTGATACATTGGAAGATCTTGGTCGCCCTTCTGGACGTCACCTTGGATGGACTCCGAAATCATTTCAGGAACTTCGGGAACCTTCTGCCAGGACAATCGCCATCTGTGCAAGCCACTCAAACAGCAAAGCTTCCCGGAACTTCTACTCGACCAACTCCATCCTCAGAGCCGCCAAAACCAGAAAGACTTCCCAGGGGTTTTGATACCCACTTCCATTCAGACAGGATGCGCAGCAGGCTCCATCTGGACGCTTCCACACCCCTAGAAGAGGGACAAGGCTGGCCAACCAATATAGGTAGACATCAACCTTCAGAGGGCATTACAGATCTTTTGCGATCCACCAACCTGGCCCCAAGAACCAACCTTCCATCAGTGTTGGAAGATAGCCATAGGTTTCCACCCAAAGAATGTGCAGGCCATGGACCCCGACCAACTCGACAGGTTACGACATTTGCTATCGTCCAAGGATGTAATCGCCTTCGGGGGAACTTGGCCTGGACTTTACTGTAAGGAACTGGGAACGGCAAGGTTAAGTATTAGGGCAGCTTTTCAAGCTGGCACCATCAACCAGGCAAATTATCCTCCACCTCAGGGGTACTTCAGCCGACATGTACCAACAGGCTCCCTAACAAGAATGCCTCCAAATTGCAACAGCTGCTGGAGTATCTTCAACCCAGAGATTCCATCTCCATTGTTTTTCGGGATCATTCAAAGAAGTGGCACTATGGGCCAAGCACTTCCCTGAGACGTGGTTTATATACATCGGGATGGTGGCCAGCTTCGACGACCAACAGCTATCAGCACTGTGATTCCTGAATGCCAAGCGCTTCATTTTGGAGACCGATGCCCCTTATCTGTGGCCTCGCCGCGGAGTCAATAGCCCAAGACTACTGGGTGAGGTTGCAGCTATGGTGGCCGCTGTCCGACAGAGTACCACAGCCAACATTTTGGAGCGTGCCTATGTCAACGCTAGGTAGCTCTACAGAGTCTGATTATTCACGCCATATGAATGGGATTCCTCAATCTGACTTGGTCAGGACTGGAACTGAGTCCACCGATCTGGTCTAAATTCAAGGATTCTCATAGCAGCTTTGTCGTCTGTTTAAGTTACGTGAACCAACTCGGTTGCCACCAAAAAATCCAGTTGGGGATTTTCTTATTTATGACGTATGACTAATCTTAACCACGATTTACGCGAACTGTCTCGGTTGATAGCACAAAACTGCTGCCCAACCCTGCAGAGATTTTCTCATGTTTTGGTGAGGTCACCTGTTAGATACTCCCTATCCTCCTGATACCACAAGGGGTGGTCCAAAAAAGAGGGAGGAATGTAGTGATTGGTGCTTCCACTCGTACATTGGGTGACATCGGATTGGCCACCCGATGTTACTCGTATGTTTCCGAGTGTGATCGAGGCACGTGATCAACTTACCCGCCAAATCAGACAGGTGACAATCGACAGATTTACGAAACCCACCGAAGCTAACACGATCTTGATCTCCCCATTATCACGCTTACGCCGTAAGGTAAGCAACTTTTCCATATCACTAGGCTTTCACTACACAACCATGTTTTGAAACGAAACGAGCGACCCACCATGGTACCGACAAGCGAAGAGGATTCGATGGAGATCACATCAACTCAATATATGAACAAGTAGGTAATAGTGAACCCTTTTTTCGCATCTATAAATCCTTTTACCTTTTGTGAACATTTTGGAATGGTTATAGCTGGCAATGTCAAATATAAAAGTGGCTATTTTTGTGGTACGATGATCTCGCTGAGAAAACGTAAACAAATCGCCGCATGGCGAGTTCTGTTATTATTTATCATGGTTTTTAGTGCTGATTGAAGATTGAATAATGAATGAGTGCTGAATGAAGATATAATTAACATTTTGAATGATTGACCTATATCGTGTTTTAAAATCGTATCTGAAAAATGATTATTCGAACATATTTTTACGATCTTTTTGAGGATGGAGACACGAAATTTCTCGTGAAAATACAAAAGGGTCCGCTTTCATGCTAACGTTTATCACTGAATATGCATACATATGAATACACAATGCAATTTGGAAGCCTCGGTGGCTGAGTGGGTTAGATCGCTGACTTTGTGTGCTGGCGATTAGGTGCCTCAATCTGGCAAGTGTGGGTTCGAATCCCGCAAGGGACTCAACCCAAAAGAAGTACTAGAATCTGTACTTTACTAAGAAAGTTTTATCCCAAATTTAACATTTGTTACATATGCATACATATGTTGAAACACGTTCTTGTAAAGCTTAGTTATAGAACAAACATGTATTTGATTGTCAATATAGTAATTTCGGTTGACGATTTACATCTACTGTCATGATATATTTATCGAAATTAAGCCACTTCCGTTTTCGGAATATCCAAATAATATGTTCACATATCGATAATAAAAGGATGAAATCTCATTCATTGCTCATATTTAATAGTCAATCTGCTTACATCCGATGAAAGTAAATTATTATTTATGGATGTTTGCAAATGTTTGTACGATAAAGCCTAGATTTACACACATTTTGGCGATTACATGGCTTCAACTAAACATTTTACAATGTCATCTTTTATAAGTAAGTTAAATTCCCATCCAATATCCAATAAGTGTTTGTTATTTATTTCATAATGGAACTGAAAGACATGTATTTACATATTTCTCATGATTTGAATTTTATATCCAATAAGTGTTTATTATTTATTTAATTATGTAACTGAAAAACACCTGTCTCCATGCTATTCTCATGATTTTTGTTATTTATTTAATGTTTATATTTTGGCAGATGATGAAAACTTCAACAAATGGAAAACTATTTTCAATTCACCTGGAAGAGTCAGACGACCATCAGTACAAACAAACCTGATCTGACTTTATTACCTGAATGACACAGGACAATATTACAGATTTTGCCTCAAACATATCCGAACTTCAGCCTCCATAACACTGAGCTTTAATAAATTCTAAAAACTCACTAGGATGAATTTCTCTGTCAAGCAGAATTTCTTGGGCATTATCTTCGCTAAGCAAATGTGTCACAGAATGAATTGCTTAAATGTAACAAGTGCCACACCAATGATGTTATCTTGGACTTGGTGTCATTTCAGAAGAAAGAAGATTTTCTTCTGTCATGGATATGTCAAGTAGACAGCTATCTATCTGGTGTTTGGTTGAAAGAACAATCCTTCAGAAAAGATTGAAGGAAATTCACGATCACCTTAGCGCTAAGATCACTTTGAGGAACGGGGCCCTGGACATTAAAAATACAGTCGTCACATTGTCTGCGGCCTGTCCGCCCCCATTGTCGTAGGCGAATAAAGTTAGATGACATCCCAGTTGACAATAGCCCCAAGACGACAGTGCCTTATGTTAAGTTGAACTGTCACCACTGTCAGCAGTAAAACATTCACCCTTGATGTCCGCTTCTAAAGGTAACCAAATCAGAAAGCTTAAGGGTGATTTCAATCAAAGAAGTGAAAATAAGAATAAAAAAAACAGAAAACAAAGACACTCAATGACCTTATTACAGAGAAGATATCTAAATCTCAGAAACAAAGGGAAGATTTGGATTTTAATTGAACTTTTATTTCAATTATTGATTAGGACATTGACCATTCGTAGTTGCAAGAGGAAGCCACCCGATCGTCTCTGGAACTTGCGAAGAAAGAACTTTCCAGACTTCCAGACTTGGTCATGGTCCTTGCTATAAGAGAATGAAGCAATGGAAGAAAACAAGAGGTCTGTCTCAGCAAAGATCATGTTCATCAGTCTCAAAGGACAATAGCATTATTAATATTTTGTATTACTACTAATATGAGCCATGTTGACAATCTCAGAAGTGAAACTAATGAAATTGAGACATTTAATTTGAACCTTTATTGTGTTGTTTGTAAATGAACATGAATCAGTATTTCGCTACACAGTTGATGGTCCTTGTGACATATTTCATATTCTTAATTCGTTTAAGACATCCTCATTTATTACTGTAATATATTGTCATTTGAATATGTCATTGACAGACGTGTACTTTTAGTCTACAATGTGTCAGACTTATTGCTTGAATAGTTTAAGAGAAAATGAAAAAATATACAAATAGGCCATCTGTTCACATTTTCCACAACCACATTTTAAGATTTTGTCATCTTTGGTAGCTTCTAACAGGCTCAAATGTATTATCGGAGACCTGATAAAATAGAGTTAAAATATATAACCAATTATGTGAGGAAAGTGTTTCATATGGCCTGTGCAGTCAGAAATCTTACTTTTATGATGATGTGAAATGGGTCAAACGACAACATTTTCAAGTTTAATTTCCACCATTTTTCAATTTCAGAGTGAGTTAGTGAATATGGTTTTACGCCGTTTTTAGCAATATTCCAGCAATATCACGGCGGGGGACACCAGAAATGGGCTTCACACATTGTACCCATGTCGGGAATCGAACCCGGGTCTTCGGCGTGACGAGCGAACGCTTTAACCACTAGGCTACCCGACCGCCCCTTTTTCAATTTCAGAGCTCAATGTGTCTAATCATATGTAGTCAGATGTGGACAGTAATTCTACAAATGATTTAGAGTGATATATTTTATATTGAAATGCATTTTGTTTGCTTTTGTTAGTCTCTGTTTTGTTATGAATTAATGCTGGACTTGTCCAAATGTAACTAAATTTGTATATGACAATGGATGTTTGATTGACAATATCTCAAGAACTAATAAAGATATCTTCATAATTTTTTGTTTTGTTTTGCTTGTATTGTTTTCCAGTTTAAGTGAAGTCAGTGTGTTGTGTCAAAAAAATTGGCTGCCAGTACCTAATAATAGATTGATTGATGGATGATAACAGATGGATTGATGGATCGATTACAGAAGGTTTGATTGATGGATAACAGATGGATTAATGCATGTTAACAGATGGATTGATGGATGATAACAGATGGATTGATAGATGGGTAACATATGGATTGATAACAGGTGGATTGATAGATAACAGATGGATTGATGATAACAGATGGATTGATGGATGATAACAGATTGGTGGATAGATTACATGATTGATGGATCAATAGAGATGGATTGATGGATGGATAAATGGATGATAACAGATGTATTGATGGATGATAACAGATGGATTGATAACAGGTGGATTGATGGATGATAAAAGATGAATTGATGGATAACAGATGTATTGATGGATGATAACAGATGTATTGATGGATGATAACAGATGGATTGATAACAGGTGGATTGATGGATGATAAAAGATGAATTGATGGATAACAGATGTATTGATGGATGATAACAGATGTATTGATGGATGGATAACATATGTATTGATGGATGGATAACAGATGGATTGATGGATGGATAACAGATGGATTGATGGGTGGATAACAGATGGATTGGTGGATGATAACAGATGGATTGATGGATGATAACAGCTGGATTGGTGGATGGATAACAGATGGATAACAACTGGATTGGTGGATGGATAACAGATGGATTGGTGGATAAGAGATGGATTGATGGAAGATAACAGATAGATTGGTCGATGATAAGAGATGGATTGATGGAAGATAACAGATCGATTGGTGGATGATAGCAGATGGTTTGATGGATAGATAACAGATGGATTGATGGATGGATAACAGATGGATTGATGGATGATAACAGATGGATGGATGATTCATGGTTAACAAAGTGATAGCAACTGGATAACAGCAAGTGAGTGAGTGAGTGACTGAGCAATATTGCACCATATCACATCAGCCTGTATCAACTTGGTACTTACACTGCGGAAGCCAACAGGGGCATCATTAGCCTGTATGATGAAGGTAAATGAGGATCTTGTTTGGTCAATCCTGGCCATGTGAGAGGTATCCACCAAATAAACTGTAAATGTTTCAGCATTTTCAGGTATCTACAGGAAAAAGGAAGATTTCTTTATCTGAGGCTATTCACTGTAAATACGTAACCAATGCAAATTTATCAAAGTGGCTAGACTTACATTCATGAATAGGTAATCTTTGTGATCATACAGCTTCATCTGATCTCAGAGACCACTTTCCGACAACTTCAATTATTGAACATCATGCAACTTGTTAATCCATGCTTGTATGTTCATGTAACAAAAAGTAGATTAATTGCCCTAAATTCACCCGAAACTAAATAGAATAACCTTACACATAGTAATCTCAACTCATTCATTGCTAAATCAAATAATGTCTCTCCCTCTTCAGGTTTAAGGAACTCACATCATCTGCCCTGATCTGAAGCTGAAGGTAGTTTTCTCTTTCGTTTGGCTGAAACCTAACAAATCCGCTGCTTGGTGCGATGTCTTTCCCCACGTCAGCCTCCAAACTGCTTCCGTTGATCTGTAAGGGAGTTAAGTAGTTATCCATATCTACACACACCCCATCCACTCATCCATCAGTTTCTGGAGGCTGTTCCAAGTCTGGACCATTCAACCGAATCTCAATGGTTTGCACAACAAACTGTCAATGACCAAGCCCCTTCCTTATGCCAAGCATATTTCATGACAAGGGGATGATTTAGATTTTCAAATTGTGAAATTCCTCTTCAATATACCATCAGGTCCATTCTGTGGAGTCTACATTCTCAAGTGTTTAATGCTTTAGAGCAAGTACAATGTATTCAAATTTCATGGAAAGACACATTTTGCAAACAGGAAAGCTTTTCAAACAATGTCTCACCATCAAAAGCATGGTAAAGTCATTCCAAACATTACATAGTAGACATTCAGAGGAAGTTTACGAAATAGAACATGTTGGTTGTCTAAATGTAGTTTTCATATCTCCCTACTTAATGGCACTTACTTTTTTTTACCAAAACATGTGTGTGTGGCTGGTGCTACCAGTTGAGCAGGATATGTCTACCCTTTTTGTACATAAACACCTCATTTCATCACCAACTTTCATCACTATTTACCTTTCCGTAAATACTTAGGTACTTAAATACCGTAATCAAGACCGATTATTCTCTTACATTTACATTTTGGATTATGAGTTTTTCAGATTAAAAACGATGTTTTATTGGTCTGTTTTCAGTCATACAAATGGGTATCTCTCGTACCCTCACGTCTAGTCGCACGTTAAAAGGAAGCCAGAAGCTGGAATGTAAACATTAAACTTGTTTCCGGTCCGGTTGCGCACGCACCTCCCTATTACATGTCACAAATCTCGAAGAATAAGCCATCAAGCAGGACTGGACTTGATTACTTCCCAGTGGGGATGGCTTGGTGGGAACGTACGACTGAAAACAGACAAATAAAACATCGTTTTTAATCTGAAAAACCCATGTTTTAGTCTGTTTTCAGTCGTACAAATGGGTAAAATTCGACGGAACACTGGAAGGAGGATCGGGAAAGTTATCAGGAAGTGACCTCTTTCACGTCGAATGTACCAAGTTCCTCACCCCTGTAGTGACAATAGAACATTCGACCAGATGCACGGACGAGACAAGTTGTTTATCGCGAACGCACGGCATGGTTAATTCTCTTCGACACACAACTAATTATCAATGCGACAGGACAACTACACGCGTCAGTTGAACTGCGATCGATGTGTGGTCGACGTATAGTTTAGTTACAGAGCAACTCGCAGTATACAAGGTAACTAAAACAGCATGGTTAATGCTCTTCGACCCACAAGTAACTATCGATGCGACAGGACAACTGCACACGTCAGTTGAATTGCGATCGAAGTGTGGTCGGCGTATAATTTAGTTACAGAACACCTCGCCGTAGACAAGGTAACTAAAAATAGCATGGTTAATGCTCTTCGACACACAACTAATTATCAAGGTAACTAAAAAGTACGAGCAGTACTATAAAGTATGGGAAGACGATGCATACACCGAATAACCATAATAAAAAAAAACTGCACACAACAAAAAAACATAAGAATGCGTACATTCACCAACAGTTTTTATTGTAACCTGGTCGAGCAAAAAGTCCAAAGTGAATAAAGCACAAATTCACTGTCTTTTCGGTGAGATCTGTTGTGCCACCACGAGTGGGCCAAACTGTTTGAGTCCTTCAACATCTTCTGTTGAGATATCTCTGAGATAATGCGAATCAAACACTGAAGTAGATCTCCAAAAGCAGCCCTCCATATAGTAGAGTGCTCTGTGGAGTGCTAATGTTGAAGCTATGGCTCGAACTTCGTGCGGATGAGAGGAGGTGGGAGGTGCGAGTCCTTGCGCCTCGTAAGCTCTGAGAATGACCGCTCAGAGAGAGAATTACGTGTAATCTCTTTCTTTGCATTGGTTGAGAGCGGTATGAACAGCCGTCGAAAAGGTTGTCGTCGCTGTTCAGATCGCTGCAGGTATATACCAAGCGCACGAACTGGGCGCAGGGTGAGATCAGCGTGATCATGAGGGCCCATAATGGCAGACAAGGAAGTAAATGTGGAACATTCTCGAATCTTGGCCAGGAAGTTGATTTTTCGCTACAAAATCCCATCTGAGAGCAAGATGGACGTTACCATGGTTACACTAATCGAACGTAATCCGACCGACGGCAATGGCATGTATTTCCGATACTCTCGCGGCCGTAGCCAGCGAGAGAAGGAAAGCCGTTTTCTGAGACAATAAGTCGAACGCGACCTGATCTAGAGGCTCGTAAGTCTGACAAGACAGGTTGCGCAGAACGACATCGAGGTCCCAGGCCGGCGGTCGGAATTTACGTGACTGATCTTCAACCATGAAGGCACGTAGAATCTTCTGCAACTCCGGTACTTTAGTGAGCTTGTCGCCCGTAGGAGACGGCACCACTGAAGCCAAGGCTGCCAGATAAGTCGAGATCGTCGACCCTTTCAGACGCCGAGATGACTGGAGTGAGTGAGTGAGTGAGTATGGTTTACGACGCTTTTAGCAATATTCCAACAATATCACGGCGGGCTTCACACATTGTACCCATGTCGGGAATCGAACCCGGGTCTTCGGCGTGAGATGACCGGAGATAGGCTATGAACTCCACCACCTGTGGTGGGGTTGCTACTGCCGGGTTGAAGCCATGAGACCTGGCGAAAATGGAGAAAGTGGTCCACTTGTCATCGTTCAGCTTACGAGTCGTAACTCGATGTGCCGACGAGACAAGCGCTGCCGCTTTAGCCGAATACCCTTTCTTCATTAACGAGGTCTTAAGCAAACCCAGGCGTGAAGCTGGAAGATCCTTATCCCCGGATGCAAGTCGTCGGTGTGAGGATGAAGAAGGAGGTCGTCTCGATCTGGCAACGGGAACGGTGGCTGATCGATGATCTGATGAATTTCCGGGAACCACGTACTGGTCGGCCAATAGACGCGACTAAAAGCAGACGTAGGTTGGCCGTTTGACAAACTGTCTCTAGTCTCGATGGTATAAGCACTGTTGGCGGAAACGCGTAAGCGTCTAGACCCTCCCACGATACTGTCGGATGGATCATCCACTCCGTGGGGACGGCCTCGATGGTCTCGACAGGGCGTCGGCTATCACATTCTTGCCCCCCGGGATGTGACGGGCGCGTACGCCCATGTCCAAGTCATCGACGAGGGCGTAGAACCTGAATGTCGACCGAGTCGTACCCTGTTGGTTGATGCAGTGGACGACTGTGGAGTTGTGCGACTGTATAATCAGCCGTTTCGGACGGAGTCTAAGTTTCCAGAACTCGACCGCCTGAATCACTGCTTCCATCTCGAGGCAGTTGATGTGGAGGACCTTTTCTTCTATCGACCACAGCCCGGCCGCTTGGTCGTCCCCGAAGTGCGCTCCCCAGGCATCCAATGACGCGTCTACGAATAGGGGTAGTATGAACGGAGGCTCGCTCATAAAGACGGCTTCGCAAACGTTCGACGGCTGGAGCCACCACTCCAGATGACAACGTAGCTGCGCCGAAAGTGGAACCAGGAGGTTGGGAAACTCCAGGTGGGGGTACAGCAATCTCTGCAGCAGACGAAGTTGAAGACGACATCGGCGAGTCAGGTCTTAGGCTGATAAATCAACAGACCGAGGACTTCCTGCCACTTGTGCACCGACGCCGGGGCATGTAGAAGTCTCGGAACGCTGCTGACAATCTTGTCCAGATTGCCTCCCGTCTGGAAGCGTATTCCGATGTACTGTAGATCCCGAGTTCGTACCAAGTCCGACTTTTGAAGATTGACGATCCACCCGAGTTACCGTAGTAGACTCAGGGTGGTCGCTCACTCTCCTTGAAGGGCTTCTGTGAACTGGTGAGCTTGGAGCCCATCGTCTAGGTAGAAGGCAACCCTGATCGCCTGCCGATGGAGCCATTCGACGACCGTCTTCATGATCCGTGTGAAAATGCACGGGCCCGTAGAAAGTCCAAACGGGACGGCCGCCCACTGATATTGAATACCTTGGTAGTCGAATCCGAGGTACTTCTGGAACTCGGAAGCTATTGGTACATGTAGATACGCTTCCCGAGTTGTTGGAGGTATGTTGCGTTGAACTTTTTGAGATTGAAAATAAGCCGCCTCTTTGTGGAGGTTTTCTTGGGTACAAGAAAGATTGGCGAGTAGTACCCCGGCGATGGTGTCGATGTCCCTAGGCGAAGAACGGCCGCCTTTTCCACCAACGAATCGATAGCCTCCGTCAGCCGATCCGTTGGTGGAGTGTGGACTGTCGGGGATGACGGCAGTGGTGGCGTCGATCTCAGGCGGGGGGCGTAGCCTGTTGTCAAAATGTTCTGAACGTAAGGGTCGTTAAGGAAAGCCCACTAGTGGGCTCAGTGATGAAGTCTCCCCCCTACCGGTAGCACGACTAAAGGTAGTGTCACCGGGGAAGACTGCGACGACGGTGACGTTATCGGTGACGGTGACGGCTCTTTCCCCCTGGGATGGGACGTTGCCATCGTAACGCTGATCGAACGTAATCCGACCGACGTCAATGAACTGTATTTCCGATACATATCGGGACTAGGCGAGGATAACCGAGAGGCTGTCGTCACAATCCATCGTCGACGTCGATTGTGGAGGCGTAGATGAAGGAGCTGGTGTACTGGTTGACGGTCCATGGACCCCCGACGCAGTCGAATCCTTCTTGGTCGACGCCGTCGAGGCGAGGACCGCCGCCGTGATCTGGGCTATCAAAGCCGGGTCGATATGAAAGTGAGACGAGGGCGTCGTTCTGTCATTATCTTCACTACGACGCTGAACTCCCAGAAACTCCCTGCGAGAACGTCGCACGTCCCCGTGGGGACGAGGGCTACGATCTCTAACTGTAGAAGTACTACGATCCCCATCGTAGTTATCGTCCGAATCGGACTCCCGACGACCACGAAGGCGATGAACGCCCTCGTGTCGTTTACTGTCTCTCGACGAGGCACTCGACCTGTCGTCCCGACTTAAACGGGAACGACTTCTGTGTCCACTGTCGTCCCGCACGACGTCCCTATCGTCGTTGGTAGAACGACATACGGACCGACTGGGGACCGTAGTCCCCCATGGTCCTCGTCAGCACCCGGTCCCGTCGTAACTGGGGAGGCTGAGTGACGCTCTCGATCAACCGATTGACGAAGATCAGTCGTGCGGGTAGTATCATCAGCAGGCGAACGGTCAAGTGTCTTGTCGAAAACAGAAGTTGTGAGGCGGGTCTTTATCAACTGATGCCATGGGTGTGGTCGACTAGCCACCCCCAGGGCCTGATGTGGAGGGTGCAGAGTCCAATGATCCACCCGATGACCTTCTCTGCTTGTAGCGCTGGTCAGCAGTCCGCTTCGCCAACGCACGAAGATACAAGTTAAACTTTATAGAAGACAAGTGCTCACATTCTTTACAACGTTTATCCAACGAACACGTTGAAACCCGTCCTTAATGATGCAGGAAGGACAATACTTGTGAGGGTCTAATTTCGACAGTTTTCTTTGATACGAGGCATCAATGCCCGACATGTTGCCATTTGATAATCAAGTCAAACAGTGAAACCCGTGTTGAACACAAACAATGAATTACCAAGGATTACATTCCAGGAGTCTACAGGGAAAACATATTTATTATTACTTTATTAGAACAACAACTGTAGACAAGCGATAAGTACTAGTAGAATACAAACTTGCAGTCTACCGCGAAAGCCTTTTTCGAGCGACCAGCTCAGAGGCGCGCTGAGAGATTTGTGACATGTCATAGGGAGGTGCGTGCGCAACCGGACCGGAAACAAGTTTAATGTTTACATTCCAGCTTCTGGCTCCCTTTTAACGTGCGACTAGACGTGAGGGTATGAGAGATACCCATTTGTACGACTGAAAACAGACTAAAACTATAGATTTTCTTCTCTAATATGATTCAAGAAATATTTGGTTAATCAAAAGCTTTAATCTGTGTATTATTTTCTATTCAAACCAAAGCGATAAAGAAATTATGAGTTGAAATATGAACATTTTATTTCACAAAGTACATGTTTTTGATAAAATTAATTCATAAAACAAGTAATATAGCCTTGACCTGTACTACAGTGTGTGTTATAAGTCAGTATCCCTACTCACCATGTATCTGACCATGATACTCCCAAACAATCCTCTCTGTCGGCCAATCTTTATGTTGATCACCTCCGTGAACGTATTCTCAATCACCCGACGAGGTGATGCCTGAGAGATTGGTGAATGCAAACAAAGGTGATATAATAATCTCTCCAGGATTATGTTGCTGAACAGTGCTAATATGCTTTCTTTACCAACTTCTAACTTTATCTCTGAACATTCACGGTGATAGGCATATGGAGGACATTTCCAAATAGGATGCATCAGTTTCAAAAATGTGTGATGCAATTGCCTATCTTGGCTTGTAGCAAATGTTCCCGTGTTCTTTTCAGGAGAACTATTGACTTGCCTTTCCATGTGTTTGTGACAGATGCCACAGGCGGGGCAGAATATTTACACGTTTTCACAAACACCTGGTGTTATCACTATTTGATAGTGATTCATAAATACATGCTTATAGAATGAACGGAATCATACAATGGACTCAATTTTGGCTTGGAAAAGGATTTGTCCCTTTTATTTACAATTGGGAACATTTGATAACAGCATTATCTCTTGTTAATCAGGAAATTTACTAACTAAAACAGAATCATTGTGAATAACACTACCTGGAACAACAGGGTATTACTGTATGTCTCAAAACAATCCTACACAAGGAATATGCTCCATACCTATAAAACACTACTTAAAGATCTGCATGAACGAGCGCTTGCGTGACTATCAATACTTCTTAAGGTTAATGAATGAGTTATGAGGCAGTTATCAAAAGTAAACACCTCTCTTGAAGAATGTTACAAATCTTATATTTGGGATACCACTTTCTTAGTAAAGTACAGATTCAAATTCTTTTGGGGTTGAGTCCCATCCGGGATTCAAACCTAAACTGTCAGAGACATCTATTCACCAGCACACAAAGTCAGTGATCTAACCAACTCAGCCTACGAGGCTTCCACAAAATGGACGTTTGACAACTGGTAGTCTAGATCACGTACTTTGTTTACCGCTCTGACATGTAGAAATTGGCATGGCTCCAATGGCCGAAAACTATGAACACACAATGCCATTTAGAAAGTGGTCAAATGTAAAAAATGTTATATTTGGGACACCACTTTCTTAGTAAAGTACACATTTTTGTACTTTTTGGGTTAGGTCCCATCCGGGATTCGAACCCAAACTGTCAGAGTGAGGCACCTAATTGGCAACACACAAAGTCAGCGATCTAACCCACTGAGCCACTGAGGCTTCCACAAAATGAAAGCCCGTCATAGTTCATGTACTTTGTGTTCCCCTCTGACAAGTAGAAATTGGCATGGCTCCCAATGCCGAAAGCTATGAACACACAATACCATTTAGAAAGTGGCCAAAATCTTACAAAATCAAAATCATATCTTTTCACGGAATTTGAATAACAAGTGTTTTACCTCAGTGAAGCCAAAGACACCATAAGCATCACCATTGGCCAGAATGGTGACCCGCGTCTGTGAAGGATCGACAGCAATGGCCGCTCTGCCCACAATGGTGATTTGCAGGATGCTAACTTCATCAGGCTCTGGCTCATCATCATCTCTTACTGTGAAGGTCACAGCCACTGTGTCGGAACCAGTTGGGTTGAACCGTGCAACTTGAGTGTCTCCGATAAAATCATCGCTGAGATCACTTTCAATCTACACAAATGAGGAATAGTTAGTACCCTGCAGAGATACATCACTTCTCATTCATAACTGAGTAATACATGCCTATCACATTCTCTTTATTCATAAACATTTTTTTCAAAATGATTTTTAAATAATATTCATAAGTAAATAGGTTCTTAAGTAAACTGAAATCATGTATATCCAACAACAGCTCTTCCAACTCAGGAACATTAAATCAAGAGTGAAGATTATGATACTTGTTTGTTCTATAACATCTGTTGTGTTTATAGTTGAAACCATCAAAGATAAATAATACGACAGATTAAATGACAATTAATAGAAAACAACTTTCACAGACAGAGCTAATGTATTATTGCTGACACATTTTTGATTGAATGATAAATGCTATTCCGTGTCATTGAAAGGGACTTTATTATTTGTTTATTTGGAGAAAAACACCAAAATTCAATGTAATTATGATATTTGCACAGTTGTCAAATCCATTTAAAACCAACTAATCCATTGTAATCAGATCATCATGGCCTGAAAGACAGTGCCTTGTAATTCTGGGAAACAACTTAAACCATGTTTATTAACAGACTTGAAGACTTTGACAAAATACAACTTTTGACATCAGATAAAAATATTCACTGCTGATATCTTCTTTCTGATTCTGATGACAAATGCTGATACATATAGATAAATGGCAAGTTATAATGCTTGTCTTTGACACTGGATTGGTTTCAACATTTCTGTCTAGATTTCATGAATTATGGATGGTTTGGTGCAAACAAATGGGTAAACGAACTATTCATAGGATAAAATATGCTTAAAGGGAATTAACAAATATCAGATACAAACTTACTGGTTTCTTAATCTAAAATATGAAAGGTGAATAAGAAAATTACTCAGAGTTCTAAACTCATAAGTAAAAACTCCTACCACTAAATGCAAACATTTCACGTATCATTATGTATTCAATGGTACTTGTTTTAAAACTGAGGTGTCTCCAGGAACACATAAACCTTACTGGATGACGACTTCATTTTGCCAGACATATTTTATCATGTTTATTTATGTTTATTCAATTTCCTTTCCTCTCCTACTGTTTTGATGGCAGAATGAATCATACGAAACTGGTATGCTAAAATCTAACACTTCATACTTGTATAGTAGAATCTAAAGTCTGAAGTCATCTAAAGATGATGATTTCTAGGTTTTGTTTTACTGAAACTAATGTTACTTATGAATGATATATAGTTACATACATGGAAGCTTGCTTAATAAAGTGGTTGTTTCCATGAGTAGTTCTTCAGTATTCTTCAGAATAATGTTTGCTTACAATGTCAAGTAATGAATATAAAACAATTAATTTGCTACATTGAAATAGAAATGAGAATAGATACAGAGTGTTCAAAATTAAGTGGAAACGTTTTGTCCTTGAGGTTTGCTCCGATAGTATATTATATGGGGATCATCTGAACCATTAACTTTCAACAATAGCATACGACCAGAACCCTGGCCTTGCATGCTTACTTTCAAACACTGGGTATATTTATTCATATTATTTGCAGAGCTCCCCTTCAGAATGTTTCTTTTTATACTTTTGGGGTTTAAAAAATCATCATATTGATGAGACTTTATTTTTCACTATTATTTAGTATTGTACATTTAATGTCAAAGACAATCCATTACTCCGGTCAGTTTGCTGTTGCTTTGTCATAATGGCAAAGAGTACAAAGCACATTAAAGTACCATAACATACATGTATGCGTGACATGAACTGAGCTACAGTGTTTGAAAAGGATCACAACAAGATTTGTCGGTTAATATATACATTAGTTGGTACTTTGTACAAAATGGCCGTCTTTCTGGGGTACCATTTGCAGACATTATCATTATCCGAAAATGATGCAGTAATCATCGATAAGGCAAAGAAACTTTGTCTATTTTTGTCGTTGTATTTTAATGATACAGTTAAGCTCGAGTTTGAAATATCATTACCTACTAATATCAAACATTATTCTTCCATTACTGCTGCCAAGCAATAGAACATATCTATGAAATCATAAAGCAAGCATGAAAGTTTCAGGTCTTGCACTATTTTCAAACATCTAGGGTAAGTTCATCCAATCAAAGGAGAGTCTAATTAACATTGTGTTAGAAGCATCAAATGTATTATTGACGGTACACTTTTGTCATAAAACTGTGTTTGCTATTTACATGATAAAGGGATTGTGTTATATGGCTATTATCTTGACACTGTGATTTCTCTAATGTTGCAAATGCTTTAACTGCGTCGTATATGTACACTTAAACGTCCTTGACATTTAAAGTTCTGGACTTGTAAGGGAAATGTCAGTCCTTGTCATTTCCGTCAGAATCAGACTCAATTTAAAAAAAAAGAAGAATTTCCTTTTTCATGCGGAAATTGATTGTATGAAATATCAACATGCATGTATGGTATGATCTGCACTATATAAAATCCAACTGTGGTCCATAAAGTTCCATGTCTTCCTCTACAAACAACTGGTTTCTAATATATCTCTTTGCAATGATCAACATGATAATTAAGGTATCATAATTTCAGGAACAAGCTATTTCATTATTCTTTTAACAAACACAATAGCAAATAGCTTAAGATATTTTTGTTAATATTCCATCATGACCAAACTCTATGTTAAGTCATTTTTCGAAAGGTTATTGATAATAGTGATGATGATGATGATGATGATGATGATGATGATGATGATGATGATGATGATGTTAACATTATGATGATAATGAGATCAAAAATGAAAGGATACTTACTGCAACAGTAACAACCAACTCAGAACTTATGGATCCAGTTCTTTGCAACCGCAGGTCAAACTGATCACCCTCCTTCACAATGAGGTTTGTATCCAAGAACCGGACTGTTGCTTGCCCCGTCACCGTGAACACAAACAGGGCCATGAATATGACCAGTTGACGAATGAAAGACATCATCCTCTAAAAAAGAACATCAACTTTCTTATAATGAAACACTGATGTGGGCAGTGCTTGAAAAAACAATATGGACTTTCATGAAGTCACTCGACTCTTGGGAACTAGACTCTGCTTATGACACAAGCCCAGATAACTACCGGTAGATATTTTCATTGTCTCCCTCAGATTTCTTTCTCTCATCGTAGTGCAAAGACAATCGTAGCTCCCATACTTTAACATACACTTACGACAGTGCCGTAGTGCTACGACCACTCTGTGGAATGGAACCTTGGTGATTAATTGCTAGTGATCATATCAACCAACATTGAACGTGTTATAAACATGTTAATCATGCATGTCCAATTAACCACAGTAACTCCTGTTGCTTTTAGTCCACTTCACGCCTGCGTATTTATGCAATCATATGACACAGCATTTGTAAGGAAAACATTACAATCACTCAGGCTGGATAAGTTGACACTTTCTGTTGAGTCGTACCGTATTCGACGTAATAAGCGCCCCGCTCTAATAAGCGCCCACGGCGATATTTGCTGATATATTGGCTAGTGAACAATCCCAATTAGCACTCCTTCCGATTGATCAATGTACACAAGATTTTTTTATTCGCGTATAATACACACTCGTGTGTTATATGCACCCTTAATTGTGGGCAATTAAATCCTGGAATAATATATCTGTTGTAAATAAACATTTCAGGCTGTCAGCATAAACCACAAAATGTATCTTTCAACTCTATCTTTTCTTTTTTTCACCAACATATTATGCTAATAAGAGCACCCTATTACTAATTTTGAGAGACCCTGGGCGCTTATTATGTTGAATACAGTAAGTAAATGTGGAAAGGAATGCGACCGATTGACATGTTGCCCCCAAATACTTTTATATATTTCATTGACCAACAAGTCTCTTATGGGGTAAATATATAAACAACAATGTTTTGCCCAACGGCCCTCAAGGTTTAAGAAACACCCATGTCACTAAATTTAAGGTCCTTATCAAAAAGTATTCATCGAGTAAACATTGTTTTCATACTCTACATAGAATCTACACCTTATTTTACACAAAAAAGTAACATATGCAAACTGCTGTGAAAAAGAAAATGTACACTCATGTTTGAAGGTGGCTAAAAATTAAATATACGGAATATATATCTATTTCATGAGGCCTCAAATTGTAAAAAAGATACTTGCAAATGCCATTTCTATAGAATTAAATGATAGAGACAGGTGTACTTCTGTTATATAAAAGTATTCTTCTATCAATTTTTCAGAACATTACAGGGTCATGGGTGACCAAGTTGTCTTAGGCGCCTCAGGTTGCTGTGCAGAGTTGTGTTCCTTGGGCACGCCAGAACCCTGTGATTGTGGGTTATGTTTCTATGTTTGTCAGCATCATACTTGTGCTTGTAGGTTTCAACAAAGTGGTAAATATCTAAGACGTACATCTTTTCAGGCTTTCCTCCCACATCACACCATTTCCTGACACACCATGATATAACAGTTCAAAGAGGCATTAAACACAAATCACTCACTCACTCAGAACATCTCGATATCGTCGTTTAAAAGATTTTTTATGGTTGTGAAATATGTCCTTTCATGTCGTGAAATAGTTTCTTCAAAGTTGTGAAATACTTTCTTTAAGATGTTTTTTTTAGTTTAGAAAGATTCCTGGAACAATGTTTGACTATGTTAATATATTTCAACCATTTGTTAGACTGCTTTAGAATCTGGACGGCACTAATGCAGGCATATGCAGTTTCATACCATAAAACATGACACTGTGTAAATCAACAGATGTGTTTTATGGTGTACATCATATCTGACAGCTTTTCAAAATCATACAAAACACTGCATTGCACAGTCCGATAGGTCACAACAAAAACATGCTGCTGTTTTGAAACTGATATATGGAAACATTTTAGAAGAAAACCAAACTGTCAACAAGCGGAGTCCTTGGTTTGACTGTTGAATAGTCTTGGTTTGTTGGAACCATATATTGTTTGGTTTCACAGAAGTGGCAAATATTTTCAACACACCTCGAATTTCCTTCAATATTAAGGCCACGCTCTGTGATATGACTGAAATACGATTCAAATGATGTTAAACTGAAGTCACTCACTTGTCGGAATCACTGAATTAAAAGCTACAAAACCCTTTTTCATATATCTCTACTAAAAGCAGAGTCCATTGTATAGTGTTGATTATATCACCAGCAGGTGTTCATTCATCACTATCAAAGAGTGATGATACCAGGTGAGAGTGATGATACCCAAGACCTGCATCACCTCAGTCTTTCCTACCGTGGCTGGCATGCTGTGATGTCAGTGAAACACTGGAAATCTTTCACTCATTTTCACCTTAGTCTGTATATACATTTTAACATTTCACCATTTTCAAGGTGTTGATTCCCAAGGAAAACCTTGAGAATATAAACATGGGCTATAATTCAGGGTATTCAAGTATAGCCATGACACAAGCATGTGGGACTTCTTGTCTCCCAAATCTAGTTACTCTACATCAGTAAAGGGCCAGAAACGTGTTCTGGGTCCACTTGCACAAAGTAATCTTAGCGCTAAGATGATTGTAACAGCCATACCTTAACATAGGCTTACAATAGACATAGCGCTAAGATCGCTTTGTGCAAGTGGGCCCTGGATTAGTATGTAACTCAAGGTATCTTCCCCTGCAATTCAGATTCAATGTGGCAGGAATACATTGCAGGGTTCAGCATTAGACAACAAACAAACAGTTCCTTTTTTATGATACATCTTGTGTGAGGGCAGGTACAACCGGTAAGCAGGACTTGCTTATTCTTTTCACAAACACCAAGTGTCATCACCGGTTCACATACTTTTGATTACTTTGCTTCTTATGCCCAATGGTATCTGTTTCGTCAGATAATCAATTCTCGGGCATTGACGTTTCATATTTATAAATTGTAGCAGTAATATCCAAGCCTGATTTCCAAAAGATACAGGATATTATGAAACAAGTCAACATGGTCAAGTTCAGCTTGATTCATGGTGCAATGGTTGCAGGGGTTATATTTACATCACTTGCGATGATGGAGAATAGGGTTGGGATGACATTTACTACCCGGGTACCCATCACCCTATTACCCGACCCTACCCGGGTACCCGTTGTAGATATTTAGAGATAGGTACAAACTGTCCGATTTGGAAAAGTTTGACCGTATCCCTGGCAAAATGTATTAAGATACATGTGTAAAACGATCTGGTTATGCATACACTGACGTTTACTGCATGGAGTTTTATCTTTATTCAAACAAATAAAAGTCAGAAGGAATGGGTGCACTGTCAGGAAGAAATAGGAACATTATCGCCTTGTATTGTAACCATAGAGTTTTAGATAATTTTTGTCATTAAACAATATATCACGTGACTAATCACGGGTCCAGGTAGTCCTGTGGGTACCCGAGTCCTACTCAGGACCCACCCGACCCGAGTACCCGAGTTACCCGTACCAGCCCTAATGAACATGGCATGATGTCCCTTGACCAAGGCAAGTCTGTATCATGTGAATCTAGCACTTGTTCAGGTATTCTAACTGCTGCTGACAGATACTCTTACTTCTTGGCCTGAATGTTACATGACTTCAGATACTTGTTTCTGCACATTCTGTTTGACTGGTCAAACTATAATCTTGTATCATCGTATTCTTGGCTACAAATGGAGATCAATAACAAGCAATCTCTATATCACAGTATTATTTCAGTGACTTACAATTTGTAAGTTACTGGTATAAAATAATCTTACAGTAAATAGTTCATTTAAAAAAAATGATAAAATAAGAACCTTTCTACTATGTCTACACATCTTTAAAACATATTCTGAGAAACAAAAAGTTTACTTAAAATGGCCTTAAAACCATTGCTGACATGATGTTTTAAAGTTTGTCAACTGTAATCTAAAAAATGGTATTCATGTCAATAATAAATGAAAACCACAGCCAATAACAGAGCAACTAAACCTCAAAGTCAACATCCATATTAAGCCATTCAACAATGACAAAGCACTTTTTCATACTTACATTTATCATGATTCTTATTAGCTATTTTGAAAAAAAATCACTAAAAAGAGTTAGCATTGCTCAAGTCCTACAAATAAAAACAGAGCTAGGAGTATTTCTTTAAAAAATGCACAGTAACGGACGCAGGGAATTAATCAGAACCAGCAGAAGGCAAGCAATTTGAATCCCTGCTTGTTTCATTATAGATGAGAAAGAAGACATCCCTTGATTAATGTCTGCAGCAGGGAGATCTTGCCGGCATACATTGTTAATTCCTGACCTACTTTGCAGGAGAAAACAGAGCAAGGTGCACAATGTTGACATAGTGTAGTTCATAGATGAGTCTCTATTGGAAACAAGTCATTAGCAATAGACATGATGCAGACTTTTGAAGGTTGATCAGGAAATAAACTGACAGACAAAAGAAAGAATACACCCATGTTTTATGGTGGCTAAAAATGAAACAAACTAGAAATGGTCATTTGATGGTAATGTATTTGATATGCGTGTCATAGATGTGTTTCGTACCTTCTCTTTGCAGTGTTTTGAGGTTTGTTTTCAGCCTAATAATGTTTTCAAAATGCTTGTAATTTTTGTGTAGGCTTTCTTTTGCCGGTGTCACGAAATATATTCGCCCCCAGAATAAAATCTCCCCTCGGCGAATTTATACCGGTACAGTTCCGCCCCTCTCGAAATAAACTCTCCCCCACCCTACGAAATAAAATCTCCCCCCAGAATATTTCCTCCCCCGGTCGTTTTATAAATACTTGCCATGCAGTTGCCAATAGTTTTAATGTTAATTTGTTTATGTGTTTTTTTATTCATTTTTTTTTAATCTCCTTTATTTTTTCTGAATTATACATTTAGTTACTTGTGTGGGGTGTGGGGTGGGGGGTGGGGGGTGTCCCACCTTTCCTTTCGTTTTTCATAATAATATATTTTTAAGTTGTATATAACGTATGAATCCCTTCTCAG